ACACACACACACACACACACACACAAAATACATTTGTGCTGATAACCTATGGTGTATGATGGACAATTGATTTATAATTTACAAGATCAAGATCAACAAATGTCAAAACAGCTCTGGTCTGATCAGGCAAGTGACAGTCAGTCCAATCAGCTGCCTCGAATCTCTCTCACTCTGACCCCAGGCCATTCGGCCATCCTTATTGTCAAGCCCTGTGTCACTGTCAGATGCCCTCTTGCAATATTTACCTAAACTTGAAATTGCTTTCCGATATGAATTCTGCTTTGTGGATTTGTTATGTGAAAAGCACCACCATGCAAACATATTGCTGCCAGTTTTTAGCTCATTGGAATTTAAAGCTTGTTTGGACGTCTGCACACAAGATCTTGAGATGTACAGAAAAATGAGCCAGCCAACTGAAATTGAAAATCAAGATGAGCCTTGTATAATATTTCTGCGGATTGTTGTAGTTCTTTCTCATACAGCATAGACACTCACCATCATTTTTCTCACATGTCATTTATTTCAGAGCTGTGAGGTCTTGTAAAAGCCTCCTGTCGGTTGTGAAGGCTCTAGACCATAGAACATACCTTTTGTATGTTTTAGGGATGTACACTTTAGCTACTAATATGTACTTTCAAGGTACCAAAATGGACCATTTAGGTACCAAAGTGTACCTCTTGAAAAGGCACTGCCCCAGTGATTGCTTTTGTGCCTTTTTTTCTGAGAGTGTAACCAAACCGTTTCAGCTCCCATTGACTTCCATAGTATGGAAAAATGCATATAGTACAGGTTTGGAATAATTATTTTAATAATAATGTATGCATTTAGCAGACGCTTTTATCCAAAGCGACTTACAGTGCATTCACTTACAGAGCTCAGCTGTAAGGATTTCTGGTGGTTCAGATTTTGTAACATTGGGAACACTTCAAATTGACACTTCAAAAAAAAAAAAAATTAGTTATTTTTTATCAATGTATTTTTATATGTGCCAGAAAAATATATATTTGATATTTTATGATTCATGTATTTTAATTAGTGTGCATATTTATTTATATTTAGTGTGTGTGTACTACATATTAAATTTACATT